AAATAATATATATGTGTATGAGTATACATACATACATGCATACAGAGAGAGAGAGATCGAAAATAACCTTAAAATACCTTTTCTGTACCCAAGTAAAATAATCAGACTCGCCAAATAACGCTAACATTTATAAAATATGTTCTCCTTACTTCCAGCGCCCACTAGTAGCCGAGAGGTAAAGTCGCTGAACACTGGTAGTTCGGCCTGGAGTTCCATTCCCGACGAACGAGATGCCTGCATGGATGTTTTCGTGGTTTACTCCATGTGTAACATGTATACGAGCCAACTTCCCTTAGAAAGTCTTCCACGAAGGCATCCTTCCGATTTGGCGGAAAGCCCTCCAGTGCTTGGCCATAATCCAATAAACCAAAACAAGTCAGACCTCTTTATAGCATGCCTTCGTGGTGTAACGGTAACACACACGGAGTGTAATCGAGAGGTCCAGGTTCGAGTCCCGGCGAGGGTATTGCTCATTTTTCCCGTCTCCAGCTTCAAAATAATCTAATGACTTTACGAATGGCGCCCGAACTAAAAAAAAATGGTGGTCGATAATTGGTCACCACCAGGGTTTGGTGACTAGGTTCCCTCATCCCCAGTCGCCTTTTAAAACGGAAAGCACATTTCTCTATCCTTTCCGCATGCCTTCGAGGTGTAATTGGAAACATACTCGACGCGTTTTCGAGAGGTCCAGGGTTCGACCCCCGTCGAGGTCATTGCACATTTTTCACGTTTCCTGACATCAAACACAAAAAAAAAAAAAAAAACCCTGATGACTCTACACAAAGAGTGTTAGTTAGTGTATTTACAATTTTTCATTAGTGTATTTACAATTCTTCGTTCAAGTTCATCGAGTATAAAAATACGGTTTTTATGTAATGGGTCCTTGCGATCTAAATATTTCAGGAGTTAACCTTAGGCAACTCTTTAAAAGCTGCTTCTTAAACTAATATAAAAACAAAACTAAAATGTTATAATTTAGTCATTAATACAATTTAGCCTTAAAAAAAAATTCTCTAAGTTCTGTTTACAATTTACTATTCTTTGTCCAGAATAATCTTAAAAAAGATGATATAGTTTTAGGTTTCACTAAGGCATGAATATTAATGCCAGTTTTTTAAAGGATTAGTAAACATTAAACTCTTTAAGTGAAGATGTTTTATGTATTAGGGTTTATCTGACTGTCCTTTCACGAAATCGGAAACCCCTGTTTGCTCAGAATTTTATCTCTATTTGCTTAACAGTGTTCTTTTTACTTCCTTGTACGAAGTGAAAGAAGGATTGTAATTACGAAAAATTCCAGGTATCATATTTCAACGAAAATAGCCATTTTTATCGCTATCGAATACAATTTAACGATGTTTCTGCGTGACATCTGTTCGTAATAATTATAAAATTGATTTAAAATGTATTCAGAAGACATTTTTTCGTGGCATCTGTGCGTACGTACGTACGTATGTATGTATGTATGCATCTCGCATGACTCAAAAACGAGTAGCCTCAGACCGTTATAGCATGTAGTTGTGCAGTATGCTATAGCATATATAGTTATAGCATGCAGTTGTATAGTATGCTATAGCATGTAGTTGTGCATCTCCCATTTTAATTGCGATCGGCCGCGGGGGGGGGTGAATCAAGTCTTTTAGTTTTGTTTAGGAAACTTTTAGTTTTGTGCTCCAAAAAATCTGTCTTCTTGCCTGCTGGTCGAGTTGCTTGTTTTGGCATAGAAACTGTGATTTTAATTGTAACAGAAAATCTTTTGTTTTAACTGTATTTGATTTTTATGTTTTTCCATATCTTCCAATTTTTAATGAAGGTACTTTGAGGTTTGTGTCTTTGCCTTGCCGCGAAATGTGAACTGAATTAATTGAATGAGAAATCTACCTCTAATGAAATTCGAGGAAATGAGTTTAAATGAAATTCGAGGAAATGAGTTTAAATGAAATTCAGGAAAAAATGCGTATAATTTAATATTCCGTTCAAAAGCGTCATGTGCAATCAGATTTTTTTTGTTTAAAATTAATTGGTTATAGCTTTGGTTCAGGGATAAACTCAGAATACAACTGGGGGGAAAATGGCTTGAGACGTTTCCAGATTTCTTTGCTGGAATCCTTTCAAATTTGTTATGCCTTCATTCAACTTTCAGCTCCTTTAATTATAAAATATCTGTTTCTCCAACACATTCTGCTTTCTTAGGATTTATTGTGGTCGTTCCGTTCTACTCTCCCTCTCCCGTTAACTTAAGATATACGCTTTTTCATTCTCTAGGGAGATTCTTTATTCCTTATTTATGATTTTTGGCTTTTAGCATTTCTTTTGCACTGATTTTCAAATTATCAGTCTTATTCCTGTGGTTACGGGAAATTTTATCTTACCTGAATCAATAAATATTTCGCCGTCGTTTATTATAAGAATTTTTTATTTATGATAATTTTTTGTTATAATCATCTTTAAGGTTTTATTATAAAATATTAGCAACATAAGTTCTAAGGAATATTTTCAGAAATTAGAAGAAACTCAGTGCCAGGTTAAATGTCCTGTTGACATTAAAAACTGTTTGTGATTCTAAATACTTCCTAATGTTTAATTATGGCGCTGAGATTAATGTACAATTAATTACTGTATTACCCTGTTTGGACTCTCGCTGGCTAAAATATTACTACCCGACACTGAAACTGCAGCACCAAGAAAGAGTGGCCAGAAAATTCTGCAAGTTGCAGGGTAGATGTACGTCACCCAGTTTTCCGAATGATGTGAAATGCTCAACTCTGCAGTGCACATTGAAGAAGATATAAGGGAAGGAACCTGCAGAATGTTCAATTTTCGTGCCATTATTTCTGATAGTAAATCATCGTAGAAAATTTCACAGAATGCTAGGCCGTTGTCAACGGTGGCAATTCCAGCAGACAGACGATTTTACGAAGCGGCATGCTCGGACGAGAAACGGTACTTTCAGCGTGGTATGGCCGTTGACCGAGAGGGCATGGTGATCGGACTGAGAAGATCCGGTTGGTCCATACGGCAAATATCAGCTGTCACACCCGTGGACGCGTCCATAGTGCACCGGCTGTAGCGACGATGGTTGGAACAAGAAAATGTGGCAAGTTCAATGGGTTCCAATCAACACCGGCTTACAGAAGGAAGTAAGGAGGTGTTTGTTTCAATGCAGCCATAGTGACGTCAGTGAATCGACGTATCCGCCGACAAGTGGCACACCTGCAAGCGACTTCTACCTCCATTCTGCAAGCATGTTCCAAACACCCTGGATATTCCCATATCGACCAGAACCATTTCCCGTCGATTGGTGGCTAGTGGCCTGTACTCGGGGCGTTCGTTAAGAAGACTGCCTTTGACACCCACAGCATAGACGCCACATTTTTTAAACAATACTATATTCTTGACTTTTCATTATTAAAGCCAGTGGAAGAGTTAAAATTTGACATTCTTCTAGAAAATCTCTGTGGTGTTACTATGTCAATTGTATTACTGATGGTAGAACATTATATCTTAAACTTTTAGCTGAAATTATGTACTTTGAATGTTACTTTGATTGATATTTTGACTAATATGGTATATGTGTGCAATTATTCTTCTTGAAAATTTCTTATGTGCTATAATGTCTATTGTATTACTGAAATTTAGATTAATTGACCATCTATTTTTACGAACTATGTCATTTACAAATCTTAGCTTTCAATAGAATTAATTCAACATGATTGTTATGATGTATACGTGCTATCACTTAAGAAATTAGTACTCTACTTGAAAATCCGTTTTACTATGCATATTTAACTAATAACATTCAGTTGAATGCTGTGCCTTGATTATGTTGATTCACAATATGAAATTCTAACAGTATAAGAAATGTATTAAAGTACTAATTATATGCTTCTGTGCCGGTTCACATAACGTAATTATCGACAGTGTGTCTACTTGATTTATGATCACCAAAATATTATACTATTCTATATGATATGTAACACATCACATATAGAAATGCATCTATTATCGCTTCTTGGACTTTAATAATTTTAAAATACATATCTATTTGTTCTCATTTACGTAGTTCTAATGCATATAGAAATTGGCACAACTTTTACGTATATAATGTATATAATTTGCATTACGTGACAGTCCACTCAAAATTATTGTAACCTAGCTTTACATAAAGCGCAATCTTATGTAGCCTACGTAGCAATTTATTCAAGATGTCTTTGCAATCTTTTTCGTAAACTACTTTTCTATAACTTTCATAATTAAGAACAATTAAAGGCGTTTAGCCACTACTTTATTGTGGTAGCTGCTTGTTGTTTTTTCCACTGATCAGGCATCGTTCTGTTCGGTTTTACCTCAGGTCAGAAGCCTGGTCAGTGGCGCATAACCATAACCTACTGGGCCGACGCTATTCTCGCTCTGTATTATGCATATGATTTCGAAATAAATATCACTTATTGTTCGTTGCGATTTCTCTCTGTTTCCCAATTTCATCACTTTCTGCCCAATCCCTCTTGGTGTTGCATTTTCAATGTTGGGTAGTATGTCTATCATGTCCAGCGCGAACGTGCAAGGTTTATGGATCGAATTGTTTCCAACTCTGGAAAAACAAGTTTTTGTAAAGGCACCAGAACTAAAATATAAAAGACTTTTAACGCATTAATATCTAGAGATGGTCAACTGGATCTCGTGACTCTCTTTGTCGCCCATTGAAAAAGGTGATCTAAGAATTTTGCCGTTAAGCGGTTTGTCCGATGCTGAGCGTCGTCGACTTGTTAGACAATGATTTTGGTTCAATTAAGCAAGCAAAATTCTAGTAAAAATAAACTAGCTGTTTGAAAGTTACCATAGTAAAAATAATAATTAATTTAGTAGTTGGAATGAAAGGCAGTATTTTCTAATCTCCTTAACAATGGTTAAAAGCATTTCATACATGTACAAAATATTAATTAATGAATTTTTTTAAAAAAATTGTCTTTTCATCTTATATTTTTAAAAATGTTTTTTATTTCAGATACATGAGGCTATGAGATACACAGAAAACCTCGTCCTGAGTTGGATTCTTTTTTGTTTCCTGAGTATTTTTAACAAATACGTAAGTCCGTGTACCTCGTTTTTTTTAATTAAATTTAGATGATTTCGTTCATTATAATGTTAAACTTTATTACTGAATGGTGTTTCGAACTTGAGAAATTTTAGTCATTTCCCTAGAACGGTGTAAATAATGGAACGCTTAACCCTTTTCAGACGGACGGGTACCGCATATATTTGGCGAAAAATGTTCTAGCTTAAAAGATATCTGCTTCGTATGCATGTTCCCTGTGCAGAACTAATGTATATATTACTATCAGTTGACAATCCTCTTCTATTGCATTTGATGAATTTTAATGCAAATTGCTTAAAATATATTCTTAACCAGTATCCAATTAACTGGCAATGTCAAAATAATGGCATTTTTCAAAATCTAAATTTAAATTCAAAATTTAGGCTTATGCGGTTGTAGAGACATTAGGTTATTTCGAAGCAGGAGATGTGAAAAATGAGCATTCCCTCGCCGGGAATCGAACCACGGACCTCTCGAATTCGCGTCGAGGGTGCAGACCACTACATCCCGAAGGCACGCTAAGAAGACGGGAAAAATACCTTATAAGGTAAAGACACTTATAATAGGTCAAATGTAAATGTAAAAAAACATTTGTGTTATGTATCTGCCTCCCAGCGTAAAAACCGTAAATCAATGGAGCAAATAAATATCTAGAATATAAAGATAAACGACCGATACCTTTTCATGCGTCAACGTTGAAATTTATCCCGTAATTTCAGTAATATTTTCGGTAAGATTATATGGTAATTTATCCTTCCTTTCCACTGGCCAACCACTGGCCGACCGGTAAAGTCGCTGAACACTGGTAGTTGAACACGGGCTGGCTTCATTTTGTGGTTTTTACGGGTGTAATACATGTATCCGAGCAAGTTTTTCCTTAAAAAATCCTCCATGAAGGTTTATCTTCCTTTTGGCAGATAAAACTCGAGTGCTTTGCAATAATCAAATAAACTAAACCAAACCAACACTCCTTCATTGGCTCTGCTGACAGCACAGCAGTCCAAGTAAAAGTCCAAGTAAAATGCAGGTCCAAGTAAAAGTGTTTCGAAACACACGGTTCAGCGGACACTGTTGGATGCGAGACTACTCAGCAGATGACCCCTGATCGAATGAATCACGATTTCTCATTTATCACATCGATGGTTGTGTCAGTTTACGCCGTCTTCTAGGTGAACTGTTGCTTCTCTCCCCCTGTAATTAGTGGTCATATACAGGCTGGTAGCGGCGATTTTATGTTTTAGGGGACGTTCTTATGAATGGCTGCAGGAACCTTAGTTTTTAATAGAACAAGATTATGAAAGCTTCAAACTATCTGAACATAACTGCGGATCCGTTACACCCTTACATAGCGTCTATCTTCCCAACTGGAAATGGTATCTTCCAGCAGTCCAACGTCCCATGTCACAAGACTCGAATTGTGTTGGAGGGGTTCAAGGAGCATACGGATGAATTCCAGATCCTTGCCACCTAACTCGCCGGATTTTAACCCGGTATAGCATATTTTGTTATGTCATGGAGCGGCATCTCCATGACATGCCAAATGTAACTTCAGAGTTCAAACACTACCATGTCGGAGTATCTCGACTTTGCGGTGCCCACCGCTCAGACATTTGGTACAACCTGTCTCCAGTCATCTACCAAGAACTTGTGGCATCCATGCGAAGGCGAGAACTGTTTTGATGGCGAAAAGTTGCGCGACGCGTTATCGAGGTCATAATGTGTTGGCACTTCAGTGTATGTTACGAAAGATTTCCTTCGTAAAGAAGTTTTCGATTTCGTGAAAACTTGAAGTTACACATGGTAAAATGTGCTAAAGTCCCATATAACCTACCCGATCGTAAGAACTGATCGGAGGACAACTGACGAGATTTTAACAATATTATCCATTGGGTCGCCGTCCAGACGGTATAGTGGTTAGTGACCGAAACGCCGTCGCATGAACCTCCGACCTAAGGTTCTACACCAAATCAGAGTTATGTCCCATGCGACGGAAAAGAATCTACCATCCACTGCCGGCGGCATTCCATTGAATACTTACTGGTAGTCAGTGCATTACAATGCTAAATTGGCAATGTCATCTTTACAATAATTGTTACATAACAATCTGTATGAAAAATAAATATAAATTCAATTAATCATTACATTATCATGGATAGGGTCTATGCTGTGGAGAGTGGAACTTGTATATTAACCAGTCTCTAAACCTATGTCTACTTCAATACGTCATAACTTCATGTTCTTATCAATTGCACACCTAATGATGTTTGTCCGTAGTGACTGCCGTAGCGATGGGCCTGGGTTCAAATCCCGGAGAAGGCATGGTTGGAACTGTTTGTCCCTTCATCGGAGGCAGCAATGGCCACCCAATAGGTGCTTCCATAATGAAATGGCCAATACTTCCGGCCCTTGTAGTGGAACAAGGATGTGCTACTGTCCTTCCTCCTTCCGATTAGCCACTTTCACTCGGTGGGAATTTTGCTTGAATGAGCACTCTTTCTTTCTGCAAATGGACTATTTTTAGATAGCTCTTTCCAAAATTTTACTTGTCAAACATTCAGATCTTCTAAAATTACCAACTGCACTGAAGAGCAAAAGTTCGGCAATCTTTAAAAAAAATTCCAGATATCTTTCGTTTCTTTATCTGGAATCGTCAGATTCCCGAAGGAAGAAAAGTCTGCTACATTGCCTGGACGATTTACCCCCCTCCCCAGCAGCTGAGGGGTAAAGTCGGTTAACTCTGGGAGTTCAGTTCGAGGTTCGAATTTCAGCGGAGGAGATGGCTGCATCAGTGTTTTTGTGGTTTTCTAAATGTGTAGCGTGTATACGAGCCAGTTTCGCTTAGAAAGTCCTCCATAAAGACATCCCTCTCCTTAGGCAGATAGCTCTCGAGTGTTTTGTCATAACCAAATAAATCAAATCAATAAACTTTTCTTGGTGAAATGACATTCATATTTATGAGTTCACGTTCTACCTAATATAACTTTAAAAACACAAATTTATCTAGAGACTTCAAATGTTTCGCGCATTGCAATCATAGTAAGTGTACCTGGAGACGGTAGCAATAGTTTTGACTGCCATGGAGAACTTTCAGTATTTGTAAAAGAAATATGGTTTGAAAATTCACGATATTGACTTGCTTAACTATGTTCAACGATATTTATTTCTGTGTAAAATTAATGCGTTAAGCTACTTATGTAGCAATAAGTACCTTATCCATATTTTTGTTTATTTGTTTTTCATCACACTCTATCTAATTCATTCTTAGATGTTTGTTCTGGCCAAAGATTACACACATATCGACAATCCTTCACCTAGACGTGGATATGTCTCCAGATATTGGTCAGAATGGATGCCATGGTCAATGTGCAGTCGAACGTGTGGTGGAGGCGTTAGAATGAGAACTCGAATCTGCAGAATAAGGTAAACCGTTTTTTTAGTGGCGAAAATTTCCTTTCACTTTAAATTTCTGGCCTGTTTTTATTGTTACTAGTTTTACCATGTTTTATTTTTACTACACGAAGGCTGTTCGCAAATTTAGACAATTTTGCTTTGCAGTAAAAAATATCTTCTACTTGGACTTTTTTTTAACTGCAACTATATTTTTTAAAATACAAATTATCGTCTGCTAGTTAACAGCTTTGTTTTTATGCAAAATGGCGCTTTTGAAGAAGCAATGGATGGAAGGCTATGTTTGTGTTCTTTCCAAAGAAAATTATTCGTATTTGGTTATTAAAAGCCATGGTTTTCCAATAACTAAAGCTACGATATGTAACGTTGTCAACAACAAAGGAGAAAAACGTCAAAATGTAGCTTCAAGTGAAAACATTGTTCCAAATAACGTATCCAAGGATCAAACGGAATGTTTCAAAAGTAAGATCTTTAATGTTAAAAGAAATTCCGCTAACTTGGAGGACAGTTGCAAAATCATTAAAATGCTCAGTATCAGCCGTGAAAAGTGATTAATACTGGTTTGAATCTTAAAACGACGTAAAAATACTCGTATATTGTGTATCGTCTTTCTTCACGTATCGCCGAATGCAAATCACGCTGCGGAATTCTTTATGAGAAACTTTATTTGGATGTAAATGGAAAAATGTGTCACAATAGATAAATCTTGGATGTATTTAAATGACCGCAATAAAACGAGATCCATTTATAATCATGAAAGAGAAAAAAAACTTAGAACATGGTTCAAAGGATATAAATAAAGTTTTTTTAAGGGATTTCTGATTGTTGCTGGTTATTCCTATAACGGCAAATTAAAGAAAAAGAGAGAGAGCGGTGAAAAATGTTAAGTTCAACTCCCCATATTATCAAAAACATATTTAATACCCAATTTTCAAACATGAAATACCTTCTCTTTACATATAGTGCGATCTATCGGCGACTCCTCAAAATTTATAATGTTTTGGAAAAAATGGAACAAGAAACAGCCATACTCTTCACTCATATCCGTACTAAATCTCTTGATCTATCAATAATATATTTTTGCGCTTTTGTACTTTTGAAAAGCGGGCTGTCCAAACGTCGACCTGCAATCTCCTTAGACTTTGGAAAGCTATTCGAGTGTAATGGTATAAAATACCTCTTCCTTTATTGTGTTGAAAATTACGGTGTATAAAGATAGTGAAGAATAAGGATTATGACATAAAACATTTAAACATAAAAATTTTAAGTAAAATATTAATTGTATTATAGTTAAAATCGTCTAAAAATAGGCGAACAGCCTTAGTATAATTTAATTGAATTAATTCTAAATAGCACATTTAAAAATTATTTCACTCAAAAAACAATTTTGTTAATGATAATGGCATTTTACTATTTAATCTATTGTCACGACAACTATTTAATCTATGTGATGCTTTTGTCACGACAAAAGATTCTGGATTATAAAAGGCATGAAGTTTGTCCTAACATTCCGTTTATTCATGTAAACAGCTCCTTTTTTCATGTGACTAAATAAACAAAATGGCAATGTTTACAGTTGAGAAGATTTGTTTTGTTTCGTCAAGCGGCAATGATCGCTGTATGTATCGTACGAATTTTAACCGCTTTTACAAAATTATGTAAATTGTATGTTGTGTAATTTCAAGTTCAAGACTGTCTCTCGTAGTTGATTTATTTTATTTGCCTTAGAAAGAGCGGTCAACACGTTCTATCTAGCTTCAAGTAATATTAGGCCGTCCAAATTAGATTTGCTTCAAATTCATTTTCTGAGTTTACTCGAAAAAACACATGCAGGCACGGTAATGGATTTAGTTTTGTTGAATTCTGAGTCACAAAACGTTTTTACTTGCTTGTACAAGGTAAAGGAAGTATTGTAATCATGAAAAATTCCGGGTATCGTATTTCAACGAAAATATCCAATTTGACGGTTATCGAATGCAATTTAATGATGTTTTTGCGTCACATCTGTAAATAAGGACAGAATAAAGGACTCATTCTCCCCAAACGGATTCATTATATATATTATTTAAAATGGATTCAGAAGACACTTTTTTGTGACGTCTGTACCCTAGGTGCGTATGTATGTATGTATCTCGCATTACTTAAAAACGAATAACCGAAGAATGTTGAAATTTTGTATATAGGACTGCTATAACATGTATTTTGCATTTCCCTTTTCCGTTGCAAATCGGCCGCACCAAAAGTGTATATATATTCGCTCTGCTGCTCAGCTCGGTGAGCTCAGTATTTTTATTCTTATAGGTTGGTTAATTTTGCATTTTTTGCTTTAAAGGTAATTGAATTGTGTTGTTCTTATCTTCCGGTTAAGGTTTTTACTTACTTTTAGTTAATCTGCATGCACTAGTTGTAGAATTATCAACAATTTAAAAGTTGTTTAAGTGCGGCTAAGGCTAATTGTTTTACCGTAGCAGCCATATTTGTTTACAATTGAATAGCAGAATAGTGAATTAAGTCAGTTTCTGCGTCTTCAATGTCTTTTTGCGGAGTGGGAACCAAAGGTAAACTTTCAGTTTTGTGCACGGAAACTCTGCCTACTTGCCCCCTGACCGAAAGGCTTGTTTTTACGTAGAAACCCTAATTTTAATTGCAAAATTTTTTTATTTTAATTGTATGTGGTGTTTTATATTTTTCAATTTTTAATAAAGATATTTTTAGGTTTTACGCATTTTTGCTTTGCCGAAGTGAGAACTAAATGAATTGAATGAGAAATCTTTCTCTAATGAAATTCGAGGAAATAAGTTTTAACTGAAATGCAGGGAAAAAATGCGTAATTTAATATTCAGTACAAGAAAATCGTATGGTGCACTTATATTAACAAATCCTTCGTGGTAGATTTAAATAGGTTTTTAGTTATTCCAGCTGCTGTTTATTCCTAAAAAGATTTGCTTTTATTTTTACTATAGGGTTAACGGACATGTAGCATCTCCTAACCGATGTTTAGGAGAGACAACAGAATACGAAGTTTGCTCAAGGCAAGTAAGTATATTTCTTTCATTGATCTTTTTGGGCTACCAAGAATAAATTTATATATGCAATTAGTATTACAAAAGCAAGATTGTATATTTGAGCAACTTTTATTATTTTCACTTGATATTACAGGTACGTACTGTCACGTGGTAATTATTTTCGACCCTGTTCTGACGTTAGAAACATCTGTGGCAAGCTTCGATATCAACGCTTAAAACGTCCAAAACTTTTCTGTGTTCCTTTACGTACGTAACGTTATGCCACGGTACCTAAAGAATTTATCATTCATGCGGCTTGCAAATGTTACCATCCCAAGAAATATAAAATTTTTGCAGGGTCTTAAACGTAATTTGTGGCAAATCCCCCAATAGACGTGTAAGTGACTTACCTCTGTGTCTAGATAGAGCCGTTCCTAGAGGGCGGTACAACACGTAAAAGTGCACGGGCGACGAAAAACAGGGGCGGCCGAACTCTCGTGATACCACGCTTAAATATTTTAAATTCATTGTAAGTACTTTCATATGTAAGTACTTTTTATGCAATTTGTCATACGTAAGTACTTAGTGAGTATGAAATATTAAGCATTTCTTTTTAATTTGGGAGGGCGGTAATCTTAGGAAAGTACGCTGGCAACCAATGGCCTAGGAACGGGTCTGTCTAGATAAGTAAATTTAAACGTACTTTTTTCTTTTCACCATTGATTGAACAGCAGGCCCACAGCGTTTTGGATCCCGTCGATGAAATTAAAACAAATAAATAATAAATTAAAATAAAAATATAAATTTTAGTTCTGTGTTCTCCAGGAACTGACCACGCTAAACAAGGAACACTGAAAGAAGTACCAGAACATGGAAAGAAGGTGCATGGTGGAGACTGTTGAGACTAAGGCGAACACTTGTCACTATTACACTTTAAGTTGTAAAAAGCCCTTTTATTAAGAACTCAAATAGCTGAACAGAAGGCATTCACGGTGCTTACAAACCAGCCAGAACTTACTTCGCGAAATCAAAAATAGAATTTTGAATTAAAGCAAAATCTTAATTAGCCAAAGGATATGCAGATCTTTAAACGCGTAAGCCGGTTCTAACCTACACCGGCGTGACAGCACAGTCTGCAAGAATAAAGCAGCGCCGTAGACAGAAGTGTTATCGCAGAATATCAACTATTTCAGCAGGCGGAACACGCTCTGACTGAAACACTCTCGAACCCTCACATAAATACACGTGAGCTAACATTAGCGTTCTGGCAGAGAAACGTAAAGCGAGAAGTGACAGTCAGGATTCGTAATATAAGATAGCTGTTTAGTTAACATAATTACTTTACATCTTTACGTAATATTCCCTGCGATCTAACAGATAGAGGGGTCTGAAGCTTTTGTCATTTGACGTGGCGTAAGATTTTTACCTTACTTTTAAATTCTATCTACAGTTGTGCAACAAAATGATGTGACTTAAAAAGCAATTAGCGTAATTCTGAATAGTTTATCTTTTTACTCGCCTTCCTAATTGATGTATCTAATTTATATAGAATATTCAGGTGATATAAATACATAATAGACAAAACTGACAATTTTTATAAACTTTCACACATTAATCATGCTTAGGCTTTCCTGTAGTTCTTATTAGGTGTTTTTAACTTTTTAGGTGTTTCAATTTTTTGCAACTAGTTCCTGTAATTAATGCTGAGCATTATTCTCTTAAAATTCTGTTCTGCAAATAGATATTGTTGGGAGCTACGGTATGGTTGATGTTTATTTAAATAATTTCGTCACAAAAATGTGCAGACGTACATATGTATGTGTCTCGAATAAAAAGCGAATGGCTTCAGAATGGCAGAAAGCGAATGGCTGCTATAAAATGTAGTTGTGCACTCCGCTTTTGGTTTCAGTCTCTTTTCGGTTGCAGCACCAAACGCTTATATATATATATACTCTGTTAATGGGCCCGGTGAGTTCAGTTTTTTGTAATTTATTTATTTATTTATTTTTATTCTTGTATGCTGCTAAATTGTGCATTTTTTGCTTTGTAGAGACATTAGGTATTTTTTTAAAGCAGGAATGACGAAAAATGAGCAACGCCTTCGTCCGGAATCGAACTACGGACCTCTAGAACACGCGCCCAGCGTGCAGACCACCATACTACGAAGGCACGCTAAGAAGGCGGGATAAATACTTTATAGCTTTAAAAGTGATTGAATTATGTTGTTCTTATACTCAGGTTAATGTTTTCATGCCTCGGCGAGTATAAGTTAGTTTGCATGTTATTTGCATATAGTTAATTTGCATGCAATAGTTGTAAAATTATCACCAATCTAAAAGTCGTTTAAGTGCGACTAAGCCTAATGAAGCATCCATTTGTGTACATTTGAAACTTAGCAGAATAGTGCGTTAAGTCAGCTTGTGTACCTTCAGTGTCTTTTTGCCGAGTGGGACTGAAACTAAACTTTCAGTTTTGTGCACCATAAAAAATCTGTCTTCTTGCCCGCTGACCGAATTTCTTGTTTTTGCGTAGAAATTCTAATTTTAATTGTAAAAATTGTCTTTTAAGCTGTTTTAACTGCATTTGGTGTTTACGTTTTTCTATACCTTTCATTTTTTAATGAAGATGTTTTGAGTTTTTATGTATTTTTGCCTTGCCGCGATGTGAGAAGTGAATCAATTGAATGAGAAATATATCTCTAATGAAATTCGAGGAAATAAGTTTAAATGAACTGAAGCAAAAAATATGCATAACTTAATCGTCAGGAAGGAAGTCATGTGGTGTCCGCATCAGATAGTTTAATCAAGCTAATCAAGTCATTCGTTTTTGAGCCATGCGTTTTATTTCTAATCTTAAGGATATTCTCCTTCATTTTCCAGACTTGCTCCCCTTTCGAAGAAGATTTTTTAGAGTACCAATGCTCTCGGAAGAATGGGCAAGTCATCATGGGAAAGAAGATAGAGGACTGGATTCCGTATCCTTACGGTAAGTTGACAGTGATATAATATCTTGTCTTTTTTCTGTTTATTGTTATGCTAGCTTTAAATATTTACATTCTTGTGGTATCTGTTTCTTTATTGCGGTCTTAAAATTTTCATTTGTTGAACAAAGTAAGATATTATTTTTTGCTTTTCATTTTCGTCTTAACTCAAATAAAGTATAATGGTAATTCGAAAAAACAATAGAAGGGAGAAGGAAAAGGAATATTTCTCACTCCTAGTTTGGATCTAAAGAAAATAAATGTAAAAAAAGAAATCGTGCAGCTCTGCAACTGAGGTATATATTTTAATATTGTTTTTTCCAGGTAAAAATCCATGCGAGTTGCAGTGTTCGGACAGAGAAAGGACTCTGTTGTACAGTTTCGGTAAAGCAATGGATGGTACGAAATGCCCTGCCCAAGTTCCTGGGCAGCCAGCTCTCTGCGTCAACGGTAGGTGTATGGTACGTAATATTCAATCCATATTGCATATCAAATTCTCGATAATTAATATTTTGATGTTTAAAATCTTCAAATGAGAGGTTTCCTTCACTTAATTTTATCCTCCCTTCATGCCACGTATATCCTGTGTAACGAAAAGGAAATCTCAAACTAGGTGCTAAACTCTGGGCAAAAATATTGTGACGAATTTTGTACTTAGATAGGTAATTTTAGTAAAATTATAAGTAAAATTGTTCTGTTTTACTGCATAATGCAGCGCGAGACAAATTTTAAGAGAAAGCTATACCGGAAAAGTAAAAATACAAGTACATTTAACATTTGACTAAATGGGTATATCGGTAATTTGGCTAGATATCGCTAAGCTGACAACGGTTTTGACAACTTATTTTTCTGCCAAGTTTGGCGGAGAATCCTCAAAAGTAGCCAAATTCGGCGACATTTTGGTTAGGCCCCTGTATCATCGTATTAAGTATTGAAACTGAATAAATATAATTGACCACTATGTTTGCTAAAACCGTAGTTCCACCTTCGTATTGCTTTCCAGTAATTTCGAGTAGCAGAAAATACTAGAAATATCTCGGCGGCCGGTTGAAAACTATTTTAGGCCGAAAAGCGAGAGCATCTGCTCTCAGTTGCTTAGTTATTTTTGTTGGTTGTAATTCCGCATGAACTGAGATAAATCCGAGTTAGCTTTCTCTTTAGATGCGTTTTGCATTGCATTGAGTTTAACGTTCTTAGTAGTTTGAAGTGTAACTACTGATTGTACTGTCGTTTCGTACCTTTTCATGTGAACGCCCCTTATATTTAAATCTGCATCTGCTCATTTGGGGTTTGAAATTGCCTGCTGTAGTTTGAGTTAATTGTTTGAAACAGCTATAAGTATATTTAAGAATATTTGCAGTTTTGCTAATCGATTAGCTCTTGTGGGATATGCTAAACTACTAGTTTCTATCATTTAGCTATATCTTTCTGCTGGAATTCTGGATTTGTTTTTAAGTCGATTGCAAGGAAAGTTGTGCATACTGGTGCACCTGCAAAATTAGAATTTACTGTTTAATATTGTTGGTTTGTGCATTAGCACTGAAGGCGTAATGAGTACATTTCCTCAAGCACAGAATTAAAGAATCATAAGTCAAAAGATTAACTACGAAATCTTTATTTTAATAAAATAGGATAATTCTGCTTAACTTAAGCATAACAAAAAGTAATAATCTTCACAGGACATTAAAATTGAAGTATTCAAAAGAATAACTTACATAGAATCATCATCAGTACCTAAATATCATCAGGCTTACCTATATTAGGCAATAAGAAAAATAAACAGGAATATACTTTGCCATCGTACCTGAAAGAGAAGAAAGTACTACTGGATTAGACCTTTGGCCAGGTACAAGTAGCTAGGGTGAAAATCAAATATACTGCATTGCACACGAGCTTTACTTTCTCTCGCCAATATATACCTTGGCGCACGTTCGTTTCGTATGCCTTTCGAGTTTCATTATGCAAAATACCTAAATTTATGCTAACATTGCCCCTGTTTTGCTAATGAAACTCATACCAATTGTAATTCATTCCTGCAAAACTGAAATTTAGCTTTAGGAATTGGTTTAGTCATAATATCAGCAACCATTTGCTCTGTTGAAAGATAAGCAAGTTTTACTATTCCTTTGTTATTCAAGTCGCGTATATGATGAACTTTTGTATCAATATGTTTTGTGCGTGAACTGAATTTTTCAGATTCTACAAGTCTTATAGTAGACTGATTATCTTCAAATACCTTTATTTTTCCATTGGTGTGCTTGTGCGGGTAATTTCTTGAAAACTTTTCTTCAAGTTGAAATTGTCTTGACAAGTTGATTTATTTTATTTTTTCTGTGATAAGAGATAACTTCCATCTTCCTTGCGATTTATTTCCATGCCTAAGAAATATTTAGCTTCACCAAGATGCGTTATTTGGTAACGTTTCTTTAAATCATTAATTGTTTGAAGAATTAGTCCTTCTTCTGTAGAACTTATTAGGATGTCATCAACATACACTATTAAATTAATTCTTTTATCACGAACCACTTTTGTGAAAAGACATTGATCTGCTTTGCTTTGACTGATTCTTCTTGTATTTTTCTTGTATTTAGATTCTTCAGTGTATTTTCAATTTCTGCATTCCAGCACCTAGCTGCTTGTTTGAGACCATAAATCGACTTCTGTAATTTACAAACTTTATGTCTTTCTTCCGGAACCACGAATCCTTCTGGTTGTTCCATATATATTTCTTCATTTAAGTTGCCGTACAAAAAAGCTGTTTTAACATCTAGTTGATGTACCTTGGCATTATTATACGCTGCCCATGCTAAGAAAACTCTTATCGTAGTGTGTTTCACTACTGGTGAAAAAGTTTCATCATAATCACTGCCGTATTTTTGAGTAAATCCTTTGGCTACTAAGCGTGCTTTGTATTTTATATTTTTACCAGTTTCATCATATTTTGTCTTAAACACCCATTTGCTGCCTACTGCATGTTTTCCTGGTGGTAATTCTGTAAGTTTATAGGTTTCATTTTCTTTTAGAGAATGTATTTCTTCTTGCATAGCCTTGATCCAAGCTTCTTGTTCACGTTTTGGTAAGTTTAGAATTTCTTCAAAGCTTTCTGGATCTTTAATTTTAAGTAAGATTGATTCTTCGTCTTCTGCTTTATAAGAGAATCTTTCCGGTGGGACCCCTTTGGTTGATCTGCTAGAAACCCTTCTTTCTACATTTTCTTCACATTTAATTAACTCTTCGGAACTTTTTGAATCTTCTGTAAAATCATCGCCAAGAGATGTTTCTTCATTATTTTCTTCATCTTCTTGCGAGTTATTGAAGTGAATTAATTCTAAATCTTCAGCATTATTTTCTGCAAGTTTGTCAGGTAAAGACGCGTTTTCTGAAAATTTAACAGTTCTACTTACTATTATTTTTCCTTCCACCTACATAAATCCTGTATCCCTTACTTCGTAAATCGTATCCTACGAATATTCCTTCTTCAGCTCTGTTGTCGAATTTACGCCGTTTTTGTTTGTTCACATAATAAAATGCTGTACAGCCAAATACTCGTAAGTGACTTAAGTTTGGTTTTCTACCATTCCACAATTCATATGGTGTTCTATCTGTGGCTTTAGTTGGTAACCTATTTTGAAGATATGCAGCAGTAGCTGCTGCTTCAGCCCAGAATCCTTTCGGTAATTTAGAGTTTATTAGCATAGCTTTTGTCATTTCTATTAAAGAGCGATTTTTCCTTTCTGCGACGCCGTTCTGTGCCGGACAATAAGGAACCGAAGTTTGGTGAAAAATGCCGAGTTTCTTTAAATAATTTTCAGTACTTTCGTTACAGTATTCTGTACCGTTGTCGGATCTGAGAACCTTTATTTTCTTTCTAAATTTATTTGTTGTCGATGCAACATACTGTTTAAGTTTGTCGAATACTTCATCTTTTGAAGTAATAAAATAAATTTGAGTATAACGCGAATAGTCATCAATGAAAGTTACGAAATATCTTTTCCCTCCTAAGCTGTTGACTTCAATTGGCCCACACACATCTGTGTGCACTAAATCCAGTGGATTTTTAGATCTAAAACTAGTTTTGGGATAAGGTGTTTCAGTTAGTTTCGCTTTTACACAAGTAGAACATTCCACACTATGAGTGCATTTGCCAAGTTTAATGCCGTCTGCCAAATCATTTTTCTCAAGTGTTTTTATGGCATCTATATTTCTGTGGCCTAATCTTTGATGCCATTTTAGTATACAGTTCGTATTTGAACATGAAACATTATTAGCTAAGTATGCTTTCTCATCAATTGGGTTTACGGTCAATTTATATAAACCTTGCTGAGCGTTGCCGTCGGCTACGAGTATATTGTTACGCTTTATGTAACACTTATTACTATCAAATGTAACAATGCAACCTTTATTGGTAACAGATTGAACAGAAAGTAAATTACTATCTAAACCTGGTACATACAATACATTTTCCAATTTTATTTGTGTAACCTGACCCTTTAAGTTTTGAACTTTAAAATAACCTTCACCAATACCATAAGAATTTAATTTAGCACCATTGGCTACAGTTACTATTTGTTTATTAGAGTCATTTAACTGAGAGAAAAATTCTTATCACTCGTCATATGAGTTGAGGCTCCTGAGTCGATAACCCATTCTTGCGTTTGCGTGTTTTCATGTTTATTTTCCACTTTTAGAACTTGATTAAACTGAATCTGCGAATTTTCAGTTTCAATACTTTTAAGATACTTATTTTCTTTAAGTTTTGTTATGTTTTCTACACTTTGCGTATTTGCTATTTGGCATGCATTACTTTTATAATTTTGAGAATAATTTCTTAATTTACTATTATTTACATCTGTTTTCGGGGAAGTTCTAGCGTTGCGTTTTAAATGAAAACAGTCATTTATCGTATGGTTATTTCTCTTACAATAAGTACAAAATTGTGTAATACTTTGGTTTATTTTCGCTTTTACTTTTAAAGCAACTGAATCGTACATTTGAACTTTCCTAGTTTCCACACGTCTACAATACTCATCTATTAGTTTGTTTTTAACATACTCTAGCGACAATTCAGCTTCCGATTTACTTTCTATTGCAGTTATTAAGGAGTTGTATGAATTTGGTAAAGAACATAGTAGTATTGCTATTAAGTTATTTTCTTTAATTTCTTCACCTATACTACGCAGCTTTTCAGCCAACTTCTAGTACTCCTTTGATATGTTCCTGCATTTTAGATTTAGAACTTTCATTATATCTAATGGAATATAGTTTTCTAAGAAGAAATAACTTATTTGTTAAATTTACACGTTCATGGACACATTTTAACTTCTGCCAAACTTCTTTTGCAGATTTACTATGTAAAACATGGATAATTTGCGAATCCGAAATGTTTAGACATATTAAAGCTTTAGCTTTACGATCATTCTTTAACCAAATATCAGTATCAGTTTCCGGTTTTTCTTCGAAT